CAAGTGGTAAAGAGACAATTACGTTGGAAGATGTAGCTTACCAACTCGGTGTTTCAGTTAACGGTGCGTCAATAGTGAGGCACATCAATTTCAATCGATTCATAATTGTTCACTAAGTTTTGGGAAAGATGCTACCATAAGAGGTCTTAGATGGGTACCTGATACAGATCACCTGGTTGGAGTCCGAATTTAATGTGACGGACGAATCTACCGAGCAAGAGGTGATTTTTTCAGCCTAACTGTATCTGCTCCAATTGATTGGAGGGATATTGTTACCAGATAAATCCGATAATTTGGCGCACATTCAGTATCTTTCGATAATGAAGAAATTTATTGTGTGTCGCAACACTAGTTGGGGCTCGACGATTTTGACTTTTTTATACCGAGAACTTTGCAAGGCTTCAATTGTTCAACTGGGTCAAAAAACAAAGTGGTTGTCTAATCCTGCTACAATCTTGGGCGTGGTACCGATTCCCGTTTTTTAAGCCAATTACACCCATCCCGGTTTAGTTTCATCTCCCTTCAAGATAATTTTTTACCATTATTTATTTAGTAAATTTTTAAATTTAATTTTTTGTATTTGTTTATTTTTGACTTTTTATATTATTTAGACGAGGACATAAAATTATCGAGACAAAGTTGTAGGGTGCAACTATATAGACAAGATATACTAATGAAAACTGATATCGCTGTTGACATGCTGTAAATATTATTTTTTTAAATTACTAAAATTTAATTAAATTGTTTTTCACTTTATTTATACTAACTTTTATTATTAATGTTTACAGTTTTTATGGATCCTGTATTATGATGATGAGATTCACCGAGTATTGCCATAAGAGTTTTCTGAAGGGTCGGATTGTGGTGTGTCGTAACGCCTCTGCTACACTTTGCAATTGTTAAGATTTACATGGCAGATAGAGTGTTGCGACAGTTTAGGTATCATTAACCGATTCCTACGCAAATTGCAGATATGAACACGCTCCATAGAATTGATACGGTGGGAAGCATACCCACAATTGGTCAAGGAAACATGTTGATTACATTGAGTAATGGAATCATCGTCATTTCTCTGTCCCTATGCGTTACGAGATTATACCCGCCGACCTTGATTTCGACGTTTCTCCCTACCTCCGAAATTATGAAGCAAATGGAAAGTCATATTTAACGACATCACAAGAGCATGAAGAATGGGCACGAAGAAAGGCCAAATTCACAAAGGCCAAGAAGAAATCATCATCATCTTCTTCGTCTTCTGCTTCTACTTCTGTTTCTATCGATTATTTTGCATCTCAGTCCAGTTTTGGTTTTTATTCTCCATATCATGTTTCAACGGAGACTCAACCGAATTGGGTTGGAGGTTCATGGAATGAAATACAAAACACTCAAGCATCTTCGACTGAATATGCGAGTGTGGCTGAATGAGATCATATTATATATGGTCAACAACATAGCCAAGTCGAGTCAACAACGATAATCATGGTGTCAAATACCACAAGCCCATTATTGTATTTCGAAGGTGCATCTCAAAGTGGAGTGATGTTCAATACACCTCATCTTCAAGATGCAAACAAAGATGAAGACGAAGATCAAGGCAAACAACCCTCGCGCCATTATCATTCAACGACTCCTTGATATCGTTAAAAACTAAGAAAATATAAATAAATTTTATTATTCATTGTATTTAGTTTGTAATAAACTTATTTATTTCAGTCTTTTATATTATTATTTATTTATTTTGTTTCATATATTTTTTTAAATAAATCTGATGAAACTTGTCACTTCGACGTGACGAGTTTCAACAGTTTATTTTTTAAATTTCAAAAGTTGCTCGTTGCACGACACATTTTTTTTAAATTCAAAATAAATTCATCACATCGATATGATGAGCTTGACAATTTTTTTATATTTTCAATTTATTTAGTAAAAGTAAAAAAATAATTTTTAACAAGACTCATTACGTCAACGTGACGAGCTTCATTAAAAATAATAAAATACTGGCCCACATGAGACTCACGTACCTGGGCCACTAAAAAATTATTTCTAGAGGAACTTATCACTTCGAAATGACGAGTTCTAGATTCACGGTAATAAATGCCGTAAATCTCAAAATAAACTTTAACATGTATTAGACTATATAATTAAAAATATTTGCCCAGTGGACAAAAAAAAACCTTCGATTACATGCTATTGTTTTGAACTATCAAATCAAACGATTTTAGATTTAATAGATTCAACTAATTAATTTGATCTGATTCCTATATTTTTAATAGATTTATGAAATTTTTTATTTTTGATTTTCTTTGTTCTAGTGTTTGAAATCAATGGTTAGTAATACAATATTGATATGTTTATATATAAGTAGGATTATTATTTCATGATAAAAATCAAAATAAGAAAGGAAATGTAATAGAGTCGTTACATACAAAGAAATATAATATTTTATGATATGAGAGATTGATTATTTTGTCAAGAGATTTATTAAGCAGTATAGAAAATAGAGAAACAACGATTCAGCTGTACCGAGTAAAAAGTATAAATGCACACTTCCTAAGGCAACTATTATAGACTAGTTACATGCAAGTTAACCACGTAACTGCCTAAAAACCCTAACAGCAAAATGCTAACAACCACGTGAAGCAGATAACCAGGCGACTTCCTGCTGATAACTCTAATAAGATTGATCTTTTATTTTTAAATATTTCTTTGTACTTAAATGAAAGAAAAATAGTACTACATGTCAATCCATCGAACAAGACAACCCATTGGGAGTAGACACACTATACACCTCAACAACAATGATAACCCGAATACCAGCAGAAGTGCCACTAAAACTATCTTAAACCAAAACAACCCAAGCGTATGTAGGATTAAAATCCATAGCACACAGGAAAGGAGACCCACCAACTAACGGCAAGGGATCCCTTTCTTTGCCTTGGCATTAGCACTACCATTTGCATCTCTGGGAATGACTTGAACCTTCCAAGAATATTTACAGCGTAATTGATAGCATAAAGTGCAATCAAAACTCAGAGTGGGGAGTGTTAATCCAAGAAACCGTCGGATTCGATTATAAGTCGAAATGAATGAAACCTACTTGAGTCAAGGAACCAACGACAAGCTTCCACTACGACTTGAAGTTTAGCACCTGATGGATCCAACAAACCAACATCATAATTTGACAGTAAAGTGAAGGATGGTGCACGATAGAAGGATTCTCTGGGTGCACGTTAGCAGGGCTAATGAACTCTTTCAAACAATTCCTACCTTTCCATATGATCTCCCCTTCAACTGATGGACTAGAGAAAGTTATTTGGTTGCTCAGAAGGCCACGACCTAGATTACTATCCACCAAAGTCTCTCGAAGGAAAACCGACCGTCCTCCCACCTCCGGAGATCTTAGAAGCTGGTATTTCAGAATGGAAACTATCTCTAGTGGGAAAGTTTCTCGGTGTTTCTCCTAGCTTTGCCTCAATCCAAAGGATCGTAAATAGTTTATGGAGCAAAGCATTGAAGGGTTCCCGATTTAGGTCAGTACTACTGGTAATAATTTGTTCATATTCTCTTTCTCTTCAGAATCTGCTAGGAATTGGGTGATTGAAAATGGCCCATGGCACGTGCATAATAATCCCCTAATAATAAGGAAATGGGAACCAAACCTTAAAACCCTAAGCTTTAATCTGTCTAAAATTCCAATTTGGATTCAATTGTTCAATGTCACACTTGAGCTTTTTTCTAGAGCTGGCCTTAGCTATGTTGCCAGTTCCATAGGTGTTCCCATATCTATGGATACTATGATTGCATCCAAATCTAGATTGGAGTATGCTAAAGTTTGTGTCGAAATTGGGGCTAATGATACAATTCCTAAGTATGTTGATGTTGTGCTTAAAGATGGACAATCTACATTGATTTTAGTTGAGGTTCCTTGGCTCCCTCAAGCATGAAGGAAGTGTAATGTTTTTTGTCACAGTGAAAAAAAGTGTATTCAGAAGTTTAATCCTTCATCTACTGTTTGCCAAGTATGGAAAAGAAAATGAACTTTTGTCTTTAACTCTTTAGCCCCTATAGTTGAAGGAATTGAAGTTTTACAGGATCCTATTAACACTAACACTGAACCTTTAACTTCTGTTGATGACTCTCTTAATGACATTGTTGTTACTAATTCTACTCATCAAATAGGGGAATATTCTGATCTTAATGAAATAGAAACACAGAAAGTTAAAAATGGTTCTGATCTCAACTTTGTTGTTGCTGCTGACCCTAATGACTTAGCAGCCCAGAATGAAAAAAAACTTACTCTGATCTAAACTCTACTGTTGCTAATTCCCCAAGTAATCTACAGTCTTATGAAGTTCAAGGATTTAATCCCTCTCAATCTGTTGGCTTTAATAGGGATAGCAGTAGCCCTATCATTGAGACACAAACTGTTATAACTGACAAAGACTCTACTTCTATTGTTTCTAATGCCTCTGATGATGCTAAAGCTCAAAATCTTTCTGAATCTTCTGAAATTTTAGAAGTTGATTCTTCTCAACCTGCTTCTATTAAAAATGGTAGAGGTAGACCTCCAAAGGTTAATTCTAAAGTACCTTTAGCTGGTTCAAAGAACAAATATGATATTCTCATCTCAGTTGATGACATCTCTACTTCCTTAGAAAACCAACAAAGAAAAGTTAGAACTGCTTCTTTGGGAGTAGCAAGTCTGGTGAATGAAATAAAATCTAAAAAGAAAGATCAAGTTGAAAAATCTAAAAGCCTTAATGTGGGAGGTCAAATAGGATCTTCTCCTTCCTAATGATCTTAAGCTTTTGGAACATAAGAGGACTTAACAATCCTCTCAAACAAGAAAAAGCGATCCATAGAGCTTCTCAGAATAAAGTAGATGTTTTATGCTTATTGGAGACTAGAGTTAAAGCTAAAAATTCAGAGAAAATCTTCAAGTCTAAATTCTCTAATTGGAATGTCAGTTCAAACTATGATTATGCTATTAATGGAATAATATGGCTGCTTTGGAGAAAAGGTCTTGATTTCAATGTCATTTTTGCTTCTGATCAAAATTATCATTGTTAAGGGCTTCTACAATGGTTCTCCTTTTTTTCTTATCTTCTATTTATGGTAGCAATGACGGAATTGTTAGGAGACAATTATGGCATCACTTAAAAGATGTGAATTCTTCTATTTGTCATTACTCTTGGATAATTGGAGGTGATTTTAATACCTTTTTGCATTCTCATGAAAGTTCTGACCATGACTATCTTGGTCATTATCTTACCTCTTATATGAATGATTTCCAAGATCATACTCAAGAGTTAGAACTTCTTGATCACCCTTTCTTTGGTCTTATTTTCACTTGGAGTAACAAGCAGACATATCTTTTTCTTGCAAGGAAGCTTGATAGGGTTCCAATTAATTCTTACTGGGCTACTTCATTTCCTCTCTCTTTTTTGGAATTCCTTGCTCCTGGTATCTCTGATCACTGTATGGCTATTGTTAACCTTGCAAAAGAGTCTCCTATTAATAGACTAAAACCTTTCAAATTTTTTAATTTCTGGTATGCTCATCCTTGCTTCTTGAATGTTGTGAGGAACTCATGGCTCCCAAATGCTCTTGGTAATCCTATGAATTTCCTCTTTACTAAGCTTAAAAGGCTCAAAGTTGCCCTCAAAGAGTTTAACAATGAAAACTTCAAAAATCTTCCTACTCAAGTGAAAGTTAAAAGAGCTGAGCTGGAATTGCAACAACTCCATACCTTAAAAGGTGAGGATGGAATTGAAAAGGAGATTTTCATTCAAGATGAGCTAAAGACTCTTGAAGAAGCTGAAACTTTGTTCCTTAAACAAAAGGCCAAAATTCAGTTGATTAAAAATTGTGATAAGAACACTAAATTCTTCCATTCTATTCTTTTTTTTAAGAACAAGAGAGACACCATTCATGTTCTTATTGATGAAGACGACAATAGTTTAGAATCTTTTGATGCTATGGCTAAGGAAGTTACTACCTCTTTCTCCAACTGGCTTGGATCTGTTGACAACAGAGTTAAAAACATTGATCATTCTTCCCTTAAAGAGTTATTGAATTACTATCTTCCTTCTGAAGCAGCTTCTGCTCTTGTTATGGATATTACTAATAAAGAAATTCAAGATGCCTTTTTCAGTCAAGGGAATGAAAAAGCCCCTGGACCTGATGGTTATTCTCCTTGTTTCTTCAAGAAGGCTTGGTCTATTGTGGGAGAAGATGTCTTAGCTGCTGTTAAGTATTTTTTCCATAACAACTACATGAACCTTGGATTTAATTCCACTATCATTGCTCTTGTTCCTAAAGTTCCAAATCCTCGAGTCGTTAAAGATTTCAGACCCATCTTGTGCTGTTCAATCTTTTACAAAGCCATCACTAAAATTTTAGTTAAAAGACTGTCTGAATTTCTCGCTGATATTATCTCTTTAAACCAGACTGCTTTCATCAAGGGTAGGAGCATTGTTGATAATACCCTTCTCGCTCAAGAATTGGTTAAAGGATATAGTAGGAAATCAATTTCTCCTAGATGCTCCTTGAAGATTGACCTTCATAAGGCTTTTGACTCCCTTCATTGGGATTTTATTTCCTTTATTATCAAAGCCCTTCATCTTCCTCCAAGATTTATAACATGGATTGAGACTTGTTTTACTCAAGCTAGGTATTCCATCTCTTTCAATGGCTCTCTTATTGGTTATTTCAAGGGCGCTAGAGGTGATGATTTAATGATCTTCTGTAAGGGTAATGTTGACTCTATTATGGGTGTCTTAAGTGTCTGGACCTTTTTTATGAAATCTCTGGGCTTCAACTTAATTCCTCCAAATGAGAAATTTTTTCTGCTGGTTATTCTTCAAGATCAGTGGATTTTTTTCATTAGATTTCTGGTTTCATAAAAGGCAGCTTACCTGTGAGATACTTAAGTATTCCACTTGTTACTTGTAAACTTACTGAGAAGGATTATGTTGTGCTTATTGATAAAATTAAACAGAGGCTTCACCATTGGTCTGCTAGAAATCTGAGCTACGCTGGCAAACTCGAACTCATTCGTTCTGTTCTTTTCAACGTCTCAAATATTTGGTGCAGACAACTTATCCTACCTAATTTGATTCTCGCTAAAGTGGACCAGTTATGTTCTGGATTTTTCTGGAAATGTAAAGACAAGTCTGCTGCAGGTGCTCGAGTAAGCTGGGATTTTATCTGCTTCTCTAAAGCCGAAGGTGGTCTTGGCCTAAAGAACACTAAAATCTGGAACATAGCGTGTACTATTGATCTTATTAGGAAAATCTTAGCGGGTGATGGCTCGCTTTGGGTAGCATGGTTAAATTCTTATGTTTTCAAAGATCAAGATTTATGGAATTTTGTTGCAGGTTCTAATGTGAGTTGGAGTGTCAATAGAATATTAAAATTGCGTTCTACTTTACTCAGTATTTTCTCTTCATCATGTTCTCTTAGGCTAAGAGACATTTGGGAATCTATCCGAATCAAAAGGGGGAAAGTTCCCTGGCAGAATCTTATCTGGTTTCCCATGCGCATTCCTAAATTCAGTTTGATTACTTGGATATCTTTGTTAAACAGATTACCAACAAGAGATCGGCTACTCAAAATTGGAATTTCCACAGAAGGTACCTGTGTCAACTGCAGTAATGATCAAGAGATAAGAAATCATCTTTTCTGCCAATACACTCTTGCTGTTCGACTTTGGAGCTCCGTCTTATCGCTTAATGGCTTGAAGAATACATCCTCCACATGGGAAGAAATGGTTACTCGGGCTTCTTCAACTTGGAAAGGGAAATCCTTGCTCATTACAATCCTGAAGATATCTTGGACAACCTATATTTACGCATTGTCGGAGGAAAGGAACCGTAGAATCTTCCAAGGTCGTCACAGATCAACCGATGAATTGCTCAAGGTTATTATTGAAGCTGTTCAAATTCAACTAAAGGGCAAAAATATTAATAGAGCTGATAGAACTAATTCAAACCTTTGTATTGCATGGGGTATTACTTAACCAATCGTTGTCTTTTGTAAGTAGGTTGTGTATAATTCTTTTGTTCTGATTGGTTGATTGTATTTTGTAACAGAACTCTGCTATTTTGGATAATAAAATTTGATTTATCCAAAAAAAAACAACAACTCTCGAGAATTTGAAGGAATCTGGATATTTATTTTTACACCAACAGCTTACTCTCGCCAGCGCTGTGTGAATTGCATGAATATCATGCTACTTCTGTGCGGTTTACAAATTTTAACGGCGACTACTTGATCCATCCTTGACTATTGACATTTGTCGACACCATTTTTTTAGGGAAAAAAATAGTACGACATGACTTTTGCGAAATCATGATGAGAGTCACTATCGATCTTTGGATTAGGTAAGTCGAATACCTAAAAATGTCTTTTAAAACAATTTTAAGAAAAATCATTTTAGAGATAAAATGGTTTGCGTTACCAATGATTCATTTTTAAGGGCTCGAGAGTCGGTTACGTGTGGGAAGTATTAGCACCCCACAACGCCCAAAATTAGTACCTAGTCGCTTATATGTTGTCGTAGTAGTGGAATTTATAAAATCGAGTCAAAATTCAAAATGTGATCCTTTTATTGATCATTGATCAATTTCATTTTTTTATCAAAACATACTCGATTATTTTCAAGTTCGTTTCCATTCGAACATCGTATTGAATCGTACTACCTCTATAGGTTGCACTTTTCACGCCCATTTTACGATAGATGTTCATGAAAATTCACACAGATGCAAAATAAGCTTAGTGATGAATATTATCGAATTTTAAAGGCATTTTACCATTCTAAGCAATAATATGTATTATTATACTACTCACAAAATAATATGAGGGGTAAAATATAAAAGGGTTAAAGTTAGAAAACACAAAGACATAGATTAATCAAATTCATATGAATCGAAACTAAGCAAGAACTAGGGAACTCAAGCTAAAATTCATAATAACATAAAATGTAGGTACTGGAAGTGCAATAAAATGTTAAACATTTGGGACTAAAATAAACATGAAGTAAATTTCATGTACTAGAAATGAAATAAAACTCATAAATCACATGAAGGCAAAAATGAAGTAAAGCATAATGTAGAGTTCAAATTAAAAATAAACAGAAAAGTAAATGTTGGAATTTAAAAGGACTAAAATGTAAAAGTTGAAAAACAAGAGGGTAGAATAAATAAAAATAAAAATAAAAATACTAAAATTCAGAGATGAAGCTTTGCATCATGTGATGTGGTGTGATGTAAAAAGGCAAAAAAAAATAGAGATTTCAATTGTAGATCAACACCTTTGCATAAAATGATGTGATGTAAAAAGGTAAAAAAAAATAACATAAAAAACAAAGGAGATGAGTTGTAGGTAAAGTAATTGATACAAGCAAAAAAATGATGTTCAGAGATGAATATAGTATCTATTCCGTCATGGTATATATCCAACATGGTTTATTGAAATGGGTCCTACCTAGACATGCTTTCTACCCGACATGTTTTATTTCAAGAAATTAATCATAACTTCATGATATCTAATTCACATGCTTTCATTCGAAAAGAAAAAGCAATCTATGAATTTAAAGCAAAAGGTGAAAGTTTAAAGTCGTTCCTCCCTTGTGAACACCTAGTTTGGTACATATCGACGGACAAAGATTTGACATGACTCTACCTAGGGTGATCAATCTATGGTTCACCATATGCATGGTTTTAACTTTACGGGGAAAGGGTTCTCGAATTGTTCTTGATGTCGGTGCCCCCTTGGGCAGCCAAAACCTCGACCATCACCCATTACAAGCTTCAAACGGAACGAGTTCAATTGAGATCCACTTCCCTATACCCATACGAGGAATTAAATTCTCACAGAGGTACAAGGCATAGCATAGCTCATACGGGGAATAAATTCACCATGAAAGCATAGCATTCATCCCTACTTAATCAAGACGAAGCTCGGGTATAGAGCTTATGTCATGTAATGCAAGTGAAGTGTGTGAGGAGAAATATTCAAACCTTTGACCAAACACAAAACAAAGAATGAAAAATAAATTAATCAATGTTCAATGAAAATTATCACAAGATAATTTTGGACTTGAATCCATATATAATTTCCACGACTAAGACAACACATAAGCGACCAACGACCTAACTCTCTAATTCATCTCCAGTGGAGTTGCCAAGCTGTCGACACTATTTTTTTACGAAATAAAAATAATATTGTATGACTATTGCGAAATGATGATGGGAGTTGCCATTGACCTTTGGGTTCGGTAGGTCGAATACCTAAAAACGTCTTTTAAAACCATTTTAAAGACAAAATGGTTTGCATTAACCAAAGATTCGTTTTTAAGGTCTTGAGAGTCGGTTACGCGTGGGGAATGATTAATACCCCACATCGCCCAAAATTAGTACCTAGTCGCTTATACGTTCTCGTAGTGGTGGAATATATAAAATCGAGTCAAAATTTTAAAATTTGATCCTTTTATTGATCATTGATCAATTTCATTTTTTTATCAAAGCATACTCGATTATTTTCAAGTTCGTTTTCGTTCGAATGTCATATTGAATTATACCACATCTATATGTTGCACTTTTCACACCCATTCTACGATAGATGTTCATAAAAAATCACACGGGTGAAAAATAAGTTTAGTGATGATTATGATCAAATTTTAAAGGCATTTTACCATTCTAAGCAATAATATGTACTATTATACTACTCACAAAACAATACGAGGGCTAAAATATAAAAGTATTAAAGTGAAAAAACACCAAGACATAGATTAATCAAATTCATATGAATCGAAACTAAGCAAGAACTAGAGAACTCAAGCTAAAATTCATAGTAACATAAAATGCAGGTATTGAAAGTGCAATAAAATGCTAAACATGTGGGACTAAAATAAAAATGAAGTAAATTACATGTACTAGAAATGAAATAAAGCTCAATCACATGAAGGGCAAAAATGAAGTAAAGCAGAATGTAGAGTTCAAATTAAAAATAAACAGAAAAGTAAATATTGGAATTTAAAAGGACTAAAATGTGAAAGTTGAAAATAAGAGGGCAGAATAAATAAAACTAAAAATTAAAATACCGAAATATAAATAACAATAAAATAAGGTTAATAGATTAATATTTTCATTTTTAACTCGGACCGTAATAATGCAGATCGTACCTCGGGACGGGTCACCGCAAGGTCATACAAAGATTGGAATATGAGAGATAAAAGTTAGCGGTTAATAGCATAAAAATAAAATAAAATAAAAGTTAGTAGTCAGAGGTTAGTACTGTTAGAAATAAAAACAAAATAAAAGTTAGGAGTTAGCGGTTAGTAGTGTTAGTATTTTAACCCGGATCGTAATAACGCGGATCGTATCCCAAGGCATGTCACCGCGAGATCGTATGATGATTCAAAAAAATTAGTTGACCCTATTCTCATATGTAAGGGGTGAGGGGGAGGTAAGGTAGTAGGCTGCCCCCAACGGACTGAGAGCAGCTTCTGTGGAAGACCTCCGGCAGTCAGAATTATGAATTGCCCATCGTATGATGATTCGAATACAATAAAATTAAAGTTAGTTGTTAGGAGTTAGACAGGTTAGTAAATAAAAAATAAAAAGGTCTGGATCATAATAATGTAGATCATACCCCAGATAGAGTCACCACATGATCGAATCGAATATTAAAATAAGTATATAAAGTTAGCAGCATGTGACTAAAATAAAATAAAGTAAACTGAGATGTATGATTCAAAAATATATAAATAAAATGGTGACCAGAGTGTAAAAGACGCCTAAAGTTGAGGGACCTATGCGTGGTTTAACCTAAAATTATCCTCCTAAAACACTGATAAATAAGGCGAAAGATGTCAACTTTGTCTTCATCGTATTTACAAATGGAATCATTATTTACCGGCCAAGAAAGTCGTCTTCAGAAGAATCATTGTAAACCACTTCTCTTCTCTCCCAAACAGCCTCCTTCATGTTCATCCAAACGACATCGTACATCCAAAAGAGGCACCCAGACGAACCCTTTTCGATGCCCAATGTTGGAACGTTTTAATTTGATCCAATTAGATATTTAAACAATGCTTCATAAATGAAAATAATAAATAAATGTTGGAATATTTAGTATTGAGAATTAAATATTGGATTTGAAGTTATAAAATGTTTATTTTATGATCAAATTAGACATTGGATTGATGAAACAGAAAAAATTATAAGAGATTGTAATCCTTCAAAAGTGGAATGGATCCAAATTTCAATAAAAATAAAAATTTATAACCAGGGTCGCAATAAGAAGCGAAAAATAATATGATCCAAAATAGAAGCACAGAGTAATGCATCCAAAGCATCGGAATGGGCTAAAAGACCAAGACCAAGACTTATTGTTACTTGGGTAAACAGTGAAAAACAAAGAGAAAAATATCCACCCTCCAATTCTTGAATGATACATAAATTAACACCCCCAAAACTTGTAATGATGAAACAATTAAAAGACCTTTTACAAAAAAAAAAATCTGTGGAAATCCACAGACCTCTATCTCACAAAACAATCAAAAGTTGTCTATCAGTCAAATGTACGGAATGCAAATGCTTACCCCCATGTTTCAATTACTAAACCCCAAATAAAACTCCATCTTCAACCTTTTGGAGGGGCCGCATATTCCTGCATACACGAATACCCCTCCCCTCCTCAAACCATGACAAGAAACCCGATATGCTTTGCCTCAGAGACACCCATGACCACGTATAGATATTTGCTTTTATATGAATCACAGCTTCAATGCAGTCGGATAATGCACAAACTATACCGACAGTATTGATGCTGATAAACCTCTGTGAAGAACCACTAATAATGTAGAACAATGACAATCGTGGATAACGACCGGGTTCTTATACTTGATACTTTGAAAGTTTATCCTTAACAGGTGGCTCCAAAGCAGACATACATTGGTCCCACGCCCCGTTCCTAAGCATCTGCAGCAACAGTTATTCACTTCACTCGGTAAAT